AGAGGGCAGCGGCGAGGCACCAGCGGAGCGACTACGGAGACGGCCACTCCAGGGAGACTGCTCACCAGACGCCTCAGTACCCCCAGGCGCAGCACCCCCAGACTCAGTACTGCCAAGCTCAGCACCCCCAGACCCCTCACACTCAGGCTCAGCACCTCCAGGCTCCACACCCTCAAGCTCCGCACCCCCAGGCTCAGCACCCCCAGAAGTAGCACCCCGAGCAGGACCACCCTCAGCAGGACCTGAGTCACCAGTGACCTCAACCGGCGCAGACAAGGGAGGAGGGTCTACCTGAGACACACCTGAAGGAGCAGGACCTGGAGCGGGGAGGGGGTCTACCTGGGGAGCACCTGGAGCGAGGAAGAGCGGCGGGGGGGGAGCGGGGCAGCGCGGTAGGGGAAGAGACGGTAAAAGGGAACCGACTCGTCGAACGTGACGTCCTGAGACGCAAAGATACGGCGCGAGGTGGGGTGGTAAAACTGCCAACCAGGCGCGTCAGGGACAAAGCCAAGGAAGACACAGGGAACAGCGCGGGCGGAGAGCTTGTCCGCAGTGGTATCGCGGACAAAGGCACGAGCACCCCAGACCCGGAAACGCGACGCATCGCCAACCTTCCCCGTCCACAGCAGTGTGGGCGAGGTCTCCGGCAAGGAGACACGAGGCCAAAGGTTGAGCTGATGCGCGGCGTACCGGACCGCAAACGGCCACAGAAAATGGAGGCAGCCGCATGGATCATGGAGGTACGAGCGACCTCCATGACTAAGCCAATGCGGCGCTCAGCAACCCCATTCTGCTGCGGAGAGGCCGGAAGCGTGAACGACTGGCGGATGCCGTGCTCCGCACAGTAGGCTGCCAAGAGGTCTGAGGTGAACTCACCACCTCTGTCGGAGTGCAGACGCAGCTGTACAGGAAAGTCCCGCTGGAACCGGTCGCGGAGCTGGAGACGAGCAGCGCGGATCCAAGGGATCAAAACAGTAGGGACGTCCCCCTTGCTCTGCAAGGGGAAGATTGTGGTGTAGCGCGTGTAGTCGTCGACAACCAGCAGGAAGTACCGCTCGTGGCCCAGTCCACGGACGCGGGCTGGGCCCCACACGTCCAGGTGGAGAGTCTGCAGGGGAGCCTCTGTGGGAGGGAACGAGGAGGAGTGAGGAGCGGCGCGCTGCCGCCCCTCGACGCAAGGAATGCAGGGCGGCGCAGGCGAGGGAGGGAGAGCAGGCAGAGACCTGGGAAGACCAGAAACCAGGGAACGAGAGTGCATGCCACGAAGGCGAGGCAGGGAGGGGTGACCAAGGCGGTGGTGCCACAGGAGAGTGTCGTGCGACAAAGCGCGACACTCGCAGGGGGCCGCTAGCTGACCAGACGTAGACGCAGACGCAGCTACTTGAGGGGACTCAGTGGTCAGTGTGTACAGACTCGAGCCAGGTGCACGGGTGGAGAACGAGGGGAGGTAAAGACCTGACAGGAAGCCAGACGGGACGGCCAGACACGGCAGAACCGTGGAGTAGAAGGCAAGGACTGGACCCCCAGAGGGGTCCGCCAGGGAGACCGGAACTGGCCGACTGAGCGGCGTGAGTGTGGTGCAGTCGCGAAAGAAAGAGCGGGAAGCTCCTGAGTCAAGGGTAAAGGTGTGCAAGACCGCAGCAGGGGCTGTTCGCGGGCCTGAAGGGCGTGTAGGGGCGGCGCGCGGGCCTAGGGCAGCAGGAGGCAGCGCTACGGCTGCTGGACGGCGTGCGTAGCGCAGCACGTCACAAGGCAAGGCAAGGCAGGCAGGTACATGGGGTAGCGCGGTAACCGTAGAGGTAGGTGGGCCCGAAAAACAAAAAAAAAAACAAAAACAAAAAAAAACAAAAAAAAACAACAAAAAAACCATGTTAGAATCTAGCAGCAGGAATGAATGAACTAGCAGGAAGATGGGTACAAGTAGGAAACCCTAATTTGGGTTGTACCCCATATGGGCTACCCCACTACAGCCTACACAATAAGCAGCATATATGTTTGACAGGTACCACTTATATCGCTAAGTAATCCACTTTCTCTTAGTACCAGTTATATCGATAAGTAACGTACTTGCTCTTAATACTACTCATATGGCTAAGTAACGCACTTACTAGTACCACTCATCTCGCTATGTAGTGCACTTACTTTTAGTACCACTCATATCGCTAAGTAATGCACTTACACTTAGTACCACTCATATCGCTGAATAACACACTTACACTGAGTACCACTCATTATGCTATGTAACCCAAATTCTCTTAATACCAATCATATGGGTAAATAATGCACTTAAACTTAGTACCACTCATATCGATAAGTAATGCACTTACTCTTAGTACCATTCATATCGCTAAGTAACGCACTTACTCTTTGTACCACTCATATTGCACATTAACGCACTTACATTTAGTACCACTCATATGACTAAGTAGCGCACTAACTCTGAGTACCACTCACATCGCAAAGTAACACACATACTCTTATTACCACTCAGATTGCTAAGTAACTCACTTATACTTAGTACCACTCATATGGCTAAGTAACGCACTCACACTTAGTACCACTCATATCGCTAAGTAACGCACTTACACTTAGTACCACTCATATCGCTAAGTAACGCACAAACACATAGTACCACTCATATGGCTAAGTAATGCACCTACTTTTAGTACCACTCATATTGTTAAGCAACGCACTTCTCTTAATGCCACTCATATTGCTAAGGAATGCACTTACTGTGAGTACTAATCATAACATTAAGTAACTCACTTATACTTAGTACTGCTCATGTGGCTAAGTAGCGCATTTTGTCAAACATTGCATGTTTATATTATGTAGGCTGTAGTGGGTTACACCTTAGGGGGTACACAAAGTTAGGGTTTCCTACTTGTACCAAACTCTGTGCTAGTTCATTTCATTCCTGCTCAGTTATTTCTGACATGGTTTCAGAGCAGGTCCTTCGTTAGGACTGTTCTTAGGGCCCACCGACTTACCTACCTGCTTACCTTCGCTTGTTTCCGGCCCCGCTGGCCCCGTCGATCTAGCGGCCCTCCGGCCCCCCTTCGGATTTTTTTCCTAGCGGCCTCTCACGGCCCCCGTCGCGTCGCCCCTTAGCGCCCCGATCGGCCCCGTCACGCCGCCCGCGAACCGCACAGCGCGCCGCGCTCACAGCCCGCGAACCGCCCACGCGCAGCCCGCGAACCGCCTGCGCAGCCCGCGACCAGCCCGCGCAGCCCGCGCACAGCCCGCGAACTGCCCGCGAGCAGCCCGCGACCTGCCCGCGAACCCCCGCGAGCCGCCCGCGACCCGCTTACGCAGCCCGCGAGCAGCCCGCGCAGCCCGCGCTGAGCCTGCGCGGCTCTTGCGCTGACCGCCGCCGGCCCGCACGCTGCCCGCGCAGCTCACATACGGCCCGCACGGCCCGCGCGCTGCCTGCTCCCGGCCCGCCGCTGCTGAGCCCGCAGCCGCCCGCGCACCGCTGCTGCTGAGCCCGCCGCCGCCCGCGCACCGCCGCTGCTGCGCCCGCCGCCGCTCGCGTATCACCGCTGCTGAGCCCGCCCCTGCTGCGCCGGCTCTCGCTGCCGCCTGCTGCGCCTGTGCACCACTGCAGATCCTACTACTACACTTCCTGCTACTGCTGCTTGTGCGCCACTACAGTCCGTAGGCCCCACCGGCCCCGCTGACCCTGCGCACGCCTTTTCAGTGACTTTACTGCTTCTACTACTACCGCTGTCGCTATGGCTAGTCCTCCTGTTCTAGCTTTCGACGCCGAGGGCCGTCCGGTCAAATTCGAAACCTGGCTAGATGACCTGCACCTTTTCCTACAGCTCACTGCCAAGGAAGATATTACACTGTACGACCACGCTCTCGGCCATGCGACCGCCCCACCCGCTACTGCCCCCCCAGCTGAGCGCTCACAGTGGCAGACCCGTGACGCGCACGCTCGCTTTGCTATTCGCAACTCCCTGCCGCTAGATGAGCGCGAGCACTTCGGCCAGTGCAAGACTGCTAAGGACCTCTACACAGCTGTAGTGGCCCGCTACTCCTCACCCGCTTCTGCCACTCTAGGCCGCCTCACTCTCCCCTACCTGTTCCCCGACCTAGCCTCCTTTCACACTGTCGCAGACCTCATCACCCACCTTAAGACTAGTGAGGCTCGCTTTCGCGCTGCCATGCCTGACGAGTTCCTCGCTAGCAACCCCCCCCCGCTCTGGATCACTCTCTACCACGTTGTCACCCGCCTCCCTGACTCTCTGCGCCCTGTCAGGGACCAGTTCCTCTCTCGCTCCCCCACTGAGCTCACCGTAGACCTCCTCGAGAAGGAACTGCTTGCAGCCGAGGCTAGTATCGTCGCTGTAGGCACCTCTCGTGGCGACCCCCGCGGCCCCTTCTTTGAGGGGTGCTCCCCTTCCCCCCTCCTCCCCTCTGTCGCCTCTGCTGCTGCTGTCGACCTCCTTGGTGCTGAGAAGGTCGGGGCTGCGTCTGCTTCAGGCGGACGACGCAGGGGCAGGAGTGGCAGGAGTGGGGGTGGTGGCGGAGGAGGCGGAGGTGGAGGTGGTGGCGGTGGAGGTGCGACTGGAGAGGCTAGTGGCGGCAGTGGTGGAGGTGACAGCGGCGTTGGGAGTGGTGACAGGGGCGGAGGTGGCAGCGGAGGCGGAGGTGGTCGTGGCAGCGGCAGGGGTGGAGGTGGCCGGGGCGGAGGCGGAGGGGGTGGTGGTCGTGGAGGCCCGGGGGGCGGTCAGAGTCAGCAGCCTGCCCCGACCCTTCAGGCCGCTCGTGAGTGGTATGCGCGGCGCAGCGTCACCTGCCAGTATGTTATTCGTACAGGTGACCGCACTGGCCAGACGTGTGGGGGGCCGCACCAGACGGAGCGCTGCTTCGCCCGCCTCAACGATGCGTGGCGCACCCAGTTTCCTGGTGGGGGTGAGCTGCCGCGCTGGGCTGAGCTGCTCAGGAAGGGTGTTGATATTTGGGCACTAGACTTTGATGCTATTCTCACTGCCATGTATGCGATGTTTACTAGTGGAGAGGGTGCTCAGTACTTGCGTGTTCCGCCCGACCCGGGCATTCAGGCCAGCCCCGCTGCTGCTCTAGGTGCTAGTGTGTCTGCTTCCACAGGTACTACTGCAGCTGCTGCTCTAGGTGCTTGTGCGTCTGTGCCCCCTGGTACTGAGTCAACTGCAGCACTGCACACCTTCACACTGGACTCAGGTGCTTCTCGCTCTTTCTTTCGTGACCGCACTGTCCTTGAGCCTCTAGCTCGGCCGGTTGCTGTCTCTCTTGCTGACCCCTCTGGGGGTCCGGTCCTTGCGACCTCCTCCACCACCCTTCCGTGTCCAGCGGTTCCGTCCGGCACGCTCTCAGGTCTCTACCTCCCCTCGTTCTCCACGAACTTGGTGGCAGGTAGTGCGCTCCAGGACGGGGGTGTTCACCAGTTCACCCCTGCCTACGAGCGTGTGACTCACTGCACATGTGCTCGGACGGGCCGCCACCTAGCTACTTTCACTCGAGAGCCGGGGTCGGATCTGTACACACTGACCACTGAGTCCCCTCAGGTAGCTGCGTCTGCGTCAGCGTCAGGTCAGCTGTCCGCCCCCTGCTCGTGTCGCTCTCTGGCGAACGACACCGTCCTCTGGCACCACCGCCTTGGTCACCCGTCTGTGCAGCGCCTGCGGGCCATGCACAAACGGGACCTTGTTGCTGGTCTTCCCAGGGTGCTCCCTCCCCTTCCTGACTCCCCTGCTCCTGACTGCATTCCCTGTGTCGAGGGGCGGCAGCGCGCCGCTCCTCACTCCTCCTCCTTTCCCCCGACGACAGCTCCCCTGCAGACGCTCCACATGGACGTGTGGGGCCCAGCCCGCGTCCGTGGTCAGGGTCAGGAGAGATACTTCCTGATAGTTGTTGACGACTACTCGCGCTACACCACGGTCTTCCCCTTGCGCGCCAAGGGTGACGTCCCTGGTGTTTTGATCCCCTGGATCAGCCGAGCCCGTCTCCAGCTAGGCGAGCGCTTTCACTCGGACTTTCCTGTCCTGCGCTTGCACTCTGACAGAGGTGGTGAGTTTGCCTCCGACCTCTTGGCAGCCTACTGTGCTGAGCACGGCATTGAGCAGTCGTACACGCTTCCGGCCTCTCCACAGCAGAATGGGGTCGCTGAGCGCCGCATTGGCTTGGTCATGGAGGTCGCTCGTACCTCCCTGACCCATGCGGCTGCTCCCCACTTTCTGTGGCCGTTTGCGGTCCGGTACGCAGCGCATCAGCTCAACCTCTGGCCCCGTGTCTCCTTGCCGGAGACTTCCCCGACTCTACGGTGGACGGGAGAGGTTGGCGATGCGTCGCGTTTCCGGGTCTGGGGATCTCGAGCTTTTGTCCGCGATACGTCCGCGGACAAGCTCTCGCGTCGCGCTGTTCCCTGTGTCTTTCTTGGCTTTGTTCCCGACGCGCCTGGATGGCAGTTTTACCACGTCACCTCGCGCCGGGTTCTGGCCTCTCAGGACGTCACTTTTGACGAGTCCGTCCCCTTCTACCGCCTCTTCCCCTACCGCACTGCCCCGCTCCCCCCCCCGCCTCTCTTCCTCGCTCCAGGTGCTGAGGTACCAGACCCCCTCCCCCCTCAGGGTGCCGCTCCCTCAGGTGTGTCCCAGGTAGACCCGGGTGAGCCTGTCGAGGTAGCTGTTGACTCGCGTCCTGCGTCTGGGGGTGCTGAGCCTGGGAGTACTGCGTCTGAGGGTGCGGAGCCTGGGGGTGCTGAGCCTGGAGGTGCGGAGCCTGGGGGTGCTGAGCCTGGAGGTGCGGAGCCTGGAGGTACGGAGCCTGGAGGTGCGGAGCCTGGAGGTACTGAGCCTGGGGGTGCTGAGCCTGGACGTGCTGAGACTGGGGGTGCTGAGTCTGGGGGTGCTGAGCCTGAGCGTGCTCCACCTGGAGGAGCCCTCTCCTCCCAGCAGCTGCAGGAGAGGTACCTCGAGTACTGCCGCCTCCGGAGAGGTGCTTCTGGAGCTCGTCCCGGTACTTCCCCTCCTACCCAGGAGCTCCCCCCCATTCAGGTGATCCGCGAGTGGTACACGCGGCGCTGCAGTCTTCGTAGTGGTGCTCCTGGTGCTGCGGACCCGAGCGGTGGTGCTGTTGCTGGTGCTGAGGACCCGGGGGCTGGAGCTGCTGCTGGTGCTGAGGACCCGGGCGTTGGAGCTGCTGCTGGTGCTGAGGACCCGACCGGTGGCGCTGCTGCTGGTGCTGAGGACCTGACCAGTGGCCCTGCTGCTGGTGCTGAGGACCCGGGCGTTGGAGCTCCTACTGGTGCTGAGGACCCGGGCGTTGGAGCTGCTGCTGGTGCTGAGGACTCGGGCGTTGGGGCTGCCACTGGTGTCCCTGCTGCTTCTGGAGACGCTGCGCGGCCGCGACCGTACTTCGTACCGCTCCTTCAGCAGGTTCTTGGTCAGGCTCCTCCTCCTTCCTCCGTCGAGTGTCCTCTGCCTGTCCAGCCGCAGTCACAGTTACCGCCTGCCTCGCCTCTCCCTGCTCCCTCCCCTTACGCTGGTCCCACAGGAGGTCTTACAGAGCGTCGTGAGCCTGAGTCTCGTCCTGCGTCGCCTGTTCGTACTGCTCGCACTGGTCGTCGTGTCCCACGTGAGCGTCCTCCTCCTGTCCCTGGCACTCACTACATGACTCTGCGTCCCTCCACTGCTCCGCAGCGTGTCCCGCTGCCGTCTCCTCCTGCGTCCTCTCTTCCTACTCTTCCTGACCCGGAGTCTGACTCCCGTCGTGCTGCCAGTCCCACTGTTACGCGTCTCCTCGCTACAGTTGTCACTGACCCGACCTTTGAGTCCTCTGCTGCGTCTGCTCTGGTCGCTGAGTTGGTTGACTTTGCTGCTCGCTGTCGCCTAGACTACGCTGCCAGCCTTGTCGCTAGGTCTGAGTCTGCGTCTGCCTGTCCTCCGTCCGTCGGGGGTGAGTGTGCCCTCGGCACGGACGTCCTTGAGGACAGACAGGAGGAGTTCCACTGCCTTGCTGCTGCTTTGCCCCGTCTCGTGTCCTTACTAGTTGCCCCTGAGGGAGACCCGGATGCACCAGACATCCCGACCCCACGCTCTTACGCTGAGGCGATGGCGGGTCCCTACTCCTCTCAGTGGCAGACAGCCATGGACGCAGAGATGGCCTCCTGGAAGTCCACAGGCACCTACGTAGACGAGGTTCCCCCTCCTGGGGCGAACATCGTTAGTGGCATGTGGATTTTCAGGGTGAAGCGGCCGCCGGGTTCTCCACCTGTCTTCAAGGCGCGCTACGTGGCTCGAGGCTTCAGTCAGCGAGAGGGAGTAGACTTCTTTCAGACCTTCTCCCCCACCCCGAAGATGACCACTCTTCGGGTGCTGCTGCACATAGCCGCTCACCGCGACTACGAGCTTCACTCTCTTGACTTCAGCACTGCTTTCTTGCAGGGCAGCCTGCACGAGGAGATCTGGCTGCGCCGCCCCCCTGGCTTCACTGGGTCAGTTCCTCCTGGCACCCAGTGGAGGCTTCAGCGGCCGGTCTACGGTCTCCGCCAGGCGCCACGTGAGTGGCACGACACACTGAGGACGACACTTGCGGCTCTTGGGTTCGCTCCCTCTACTGCTGACCCGTCGCTGTTTCTACGCACCGACACCTCGCTGCCGCCGTTCTACATCCTCGTGTACGTCGACGACTTGGTCTTTGCCACTGCTGACACCGCGGCACTCGCTCACGTGAAGTCGGAGCTGCAGAGGAGACACACGTGCACAGACCTGGGTGAGCTGACGAGCTATCTTGGCTTGCGGATCACCCGGGACAGAGCACGGCGCACCATCACCCTGACTCAGTCACACATGGTGCAGCAGGTTCTCCAGCGCTTCCGCTTCACGTACTCCTCGCCTCAGTCCACTCCTCTGCCTACCGGTCACTCGCTCTCAGCTCTGCCTTCGGATGAGTCCGTAGAGCCGAGTGGCCCGTATCCAGAGCTTGTGGGCTGCCTCATGTACCTGATGACCTGCACTCGACCTGACCTTGCATACCCTCTTAGCATCCTAGCACGCTATGTCGCTCCTGGCCGTCACCGGAAGGAGCACATGGATGCTGCTAAGAGGGTGTTGCGCTACTTGTGCAGTACGTCGGGCATGGGGCTTGTGCTTGGAGGGCGAGACCGGGTTGTTCTCACAGGGCACTCAGACGCTTCTTGGGCAGACGACCAGGCTACTCAGCGGTCGTCCCAGGGTTACACCTTCAGCCTTGGCTCTGGCTTAGTTTCTTGGCGTTCTACTCGCTCTTCTTCTGTTCTCAGCTCCAGTTGTGAGGCTGAGATCTACGCCACAGCCATGGCTGCTCAGGAGCTACGTTGGCTGACCTACCTGCTGACCGACCTCGGAGAGCGGCCTCGTTCTCCTCCAGTGCTGTACGTCGACAACAAGGCTGCCATTGCCTTGTGTGAGGAGCACAGACTGGAGCACAGAACGAAGCACATCGCTCTGCGGTACTTCCTTGCTCGAGAGCTGCAGCAGCGTGGTCAGCTTTGTCTGCGTTACGTGGCCACGGAGGCCAACACTGCTGATGTGTTCACCAAGGCGCTTCAGCCTTGTGACCATCAGCGCTTTTGCACTCTGCTAGGCCTTGTACCCACTGGGCCTCACTTGCTTACCTCTTGACCTTGCTTGTACTGTGATCACTATATATATATGCCTACTTGTTTACTTTTGCTAGGTTGTGATCACTGTATCTCTTGCTTTGTTATAAACCTGCATGTGAACTGGTCTTGTGACCGCTTGCTTGTGCTCGGAATTTGTGTGGAATCCTTGAGATCCACCCTGAGCTTGCTTTGCTTTACTTTGACTGGTCTTGTGACCCTGTGGTTGTCTCCCACTGCGCCTATGGGGGTGTGTCAAACATTGCATGTTTATATTATGTAGGCTGTAGTGGGTTACACCTTAGGGGGTACACAAAGTTAGGGTTTCCTACTTGTACCAAACTCTGTGCTAGTTCATTTCATTCCTGCTCAGTTATTTCTGACACATTTACTCCTAGTACCACTCATATCGCTAAGTAACACACTTACTCTTAGTACCACTCATATGGCTAAATAATGCACTTACTCTTAGTACCACTCATATTGCTAAGAATCACATTATTTCTTAGTACCACTCATATGGCTATTTAACACACTTACACTTTGTACCACTCATATGGCCAAGGGCGTAACGCACTTACACTTAGTACCACTCATATTGCTAAGTAATGCACATACTCTTAGTACCACTCATATCGCTAAGTAATGCACTTACTCTTAGTACCACTTATATCGCTAAGTAACGCACTTACACTTAGTATTACCCATATCGCACTTACACATACTACCACTAATATGGCTAAGTAACGCACTTACTCTTGGTACCACTCATATCGCTAAGTAACGTACTTACTCTTAGTACCACTCATACGGCTAAGTAACGCACTTACTCTTAATACAACTCGTATTTTGTAAGTAACGCACTTATTCTTAGTACCACTCATATCGCTAATTAACGCACTTATACTTAGTACCACTGACATGGCTAAGGGTGTGGAACATTGCAACGAACATGGCTGGTGTTCGAACATTATGCGCTGGTTGGACGATTTGCGAACTCTATGTAACGCCTATGCGAACCCCGCCACACATTTTGAACAAAAGAGCCACATTTTTTGCCAGCCCGAAAGGGTTCTCAAAATGCTATACCCATAACTCCAGACAAAAACCTCGAGCACAGAAGGCTGGGTGGGATAGGAGTGTTTAGCGACTACAGTGGGAAACGCCAAACATTGGACCCCACTGAGGATGGGTCTGAGATCGGAAATTTCAACGACGAGAACAGGATTATCTTGAGTTTCCCCTTAAACTGAAGTCAAGTCAGGGTGAGTACATTTTACCAAAATCTTTTCATGTTACCCTAAAATTATTCGCAATTTGTCCAACCCGCGCATCTGTAGGAACATTCACAATATTCGTTGCAACGTTGCACGCCTTAAGTAACGCACTTACACTTAATACCACTCATATCGCGAAGTAACATACTTACACTTAGTACAACTCATATCGCGAAATAACGCCTATACACATAGTACCACTCATATGGCTAACTAACACACTTCTCTTAGTACCACTGGTATTGCGAAGTAACGCACTTACTATTAGTACCACTCATATCGCTAAGTAATGCACTTACTGTTAGTACCACTTATATCACTCATATCGCTAAGTAACGCAACTAAACTTTGTATCACTCATATGGCAAAGTAGCGCATTTACTCGTACTACCATTACATTGCGAAGTAGCACAATTACTCTTAGTATCACTCATATCACTAAGTAATGCACGTACTCTTAGTACCACTCATATCGCTAAGTAACGCACTTACTCTTGGTACCACTCATATCGCTAAGTAACGCATTTACTCTTTGTACTACTCATATCGCTAAGTAATGCTTCTACTCTTAGTACCACTTATATCACTCAGTAACGAACTTACACTTGGTACCACTCATATCGCTAAGTAACGCACTTACACTTAGTACCACTTATATGGCTAACTAATGCACGTACTCTTTAAACTACTCATATGGCTAAGTAACGCGCTCATTCTTAGTACCTTTCATATCTCTAAGTAATGCATTTCTCTTAATACCATTCATATCGCTAAGTAACGCACTTACACTTAGTACCAATCATATGGCGAAGTAACACACTTAATCTTAGTTTTACTCATATGGCTAAGTAACACACTTACTCTTAGTGCCACTCATATGGCTTAGTAAGCATTTACTCTTAGTACCACTCATATCGCTAAGTAATGTTGGGTGCAAATGCACATTGCACGACATCCTGCCGTCTGTTTGTACGAGTATGCGTGTGCGAATGCATTTGCGTGTGAATGGTGTGTTCGTGTGTTTGTTTGCTTTCGCATTTTTCGCTTGATGCATTTGCAGGTACTCGCGCAATGTGCGCTTCGGCACAACATTGTATGCGCTATGAACAGTGCAAGCAGAAAGGACGAGCTCGCAAAGGAACCCAAGATGGAAGCTTTGCAGTTCGGTTGAGTTGATTGCGCAGATTCAGTTCTATCCAACTCGAAATTGTACTGTTTTGTTTGGTTAACTATAGTGTAGCAGGGAAGGCACTATAGGGGTACAATTTAGGTGAAGGTTGGATGTTGTTTGTCTGTATCTGCATGCTACAAGGCCAGGGGAAACCAGCGGAACCAGCATTTGGCTGGTTGGGCAAAGACAAAACAGGTTCTGTTTTTAGAACCTGAACCTGGTTGTTGTTTTCCCAGGTTGGAAAAACAGAACCAGAGGTTGTTTACCAACCTACCACCTGCTATTTTGTCCAGCCAGGTTGGTTCTGTTGCTTGGAATTATTTGGGATCATCCCTGGTTGTTCCCAGGTTGATTCCCAAGGTCCTTGCTAGCTAGAACTATTTAATCCTTCTCTGTTTGTACCTGAATATAGTCAAATTGATTCAAGCGAATTCCTTCCTCGCTGGAATTTCGTTTCTGCGCTATTCGACGGCGGAATGCTACCCGAGTCAACGCTAGTATGCTAGCACTCTAATGCTAGGCAAACACCATCTGAGCCATAACTTCGTAATGGCAGAACTTTTCGCGAGGCAACTTGGCTCATTTTAAAGCTCTTGGAGCGAGCTTCGATATAGCGAATTCTCAGCTTAATCCGATCGACGGTCTGCACGGCACGCTGCGTGACGTTCAAGGTACTCTTGCTGTTTTGACTAAGTCCTTCTTGATCCCTCTCTCTACAAACTCGGACCCGAGGATAGGGGCTGGTCTTGTACCAGGCACCCAGGGACCCTTGGAGGTGACCCCGAGGAGAGGTTTTAAGTTTGATTAAGTCCTAATAGCTTGAGTTTATTAGGCCCTTACACCAACAAGCTGGTATCAGAGCTGCGTTATAGTGATCCTCGTTATAGGTAGCTATGGCGGGCAACACCTCGGCGGGAGCTGGTGAATCTTCAGCCCAAGATCGTAGCGGCAGCCAAGATTCTGGTCTTTCAGCGCCAAGGGGAGCGCGAACAAACCAGGGCTCGCTTGTCAAGGAGGTGCTGAAGAATTTCACCGTCGAGAAGTTCAATGGACTATGATGATTGGGCCTGGAAAATGCAATTATATTTCCGTCAGATCGGTTTGCTGAAACTAATGATTGGGGAGGAGCCTAGACCGAGTGACCCCACGCTGCAGGAAGATTGGGACGAGCGCTCCTCGGCTGGCTACTATTTGATGTCGCAGAGTTTGGAGTTGAACCAGCGTCACCACGTCATGCATCTGCTGCCGGAGGTTGAATGCGGTCCGAAGGCGTGGACCGTGTTGAAGGAGCTGCACGCCCCGACCTCCGTTGTCGCAACGTTGATGCTGGAGAGGGAGCTGTCCGCGTTGCGCCTGAGCGAGGGAGAGCCGGTGCAACCTGTCCTGGACAAGATGCGCGACCTGTACGCGAAGTTGGCGACCGCGGGAATCACCTACCCGGAGCAGACCAAGTGCTTGAAGATGCTCTCGCTGCTGCCTGAATCGTGGCTTCAATTCACGAGCGGATTGAGCCTGCCGCAGAACCAGAGCTCGTGGACTCTCGAGTGGGTGCGGACGAAGATTCTGGAGGAGGACTTTCGTCGCCGCCAACTGAGGGGTGGGGACGACGGCAGCAGCGGCTACGGGATGCAAGGGAGCCGACGTGGCAGAGGACGTGGCTTCGGTGGTGCTGGACGCGGTGCAAAGAAAGACGACGACTCCAACGACCAACAAGGAGGTACCGGTTGGGGTCGCGGTGCGAAATCTGGACGTGGGGGCAAGTCGGGTGCTGGTGGCAAAATGAAAGGGAGTTGCTGGTATTGTGAGAAGGAAGGGCACCCCTGGTTTTTGTGCTATAAGAAACCCGATGGATGGACCCCCCAGAATCGTCACCAGGATGGCGGCGCGCGGAGGAACCAGAAAAACGGCGCCAACATGGTCGCTGATTCGTCCGACAACAACCCGAAGGGCAACGGCGGTGCGGAGAAGAAGAAGGAGCGCACTGCGGGCCAATTCTTCCATGTGGGAAACAAGGGGGAGCAAGGAGACGCCTCTGCCAAAGTTGGAGCAGAGCTGCACCCCCTAGACTATTGGGTGTTGGACACAGGCGCTGTTTGGACGATGACGCCGCGCAAGGACCTGCTGGACGAAGTACGAGCTGCACCGATCAATGAAGTGTGCTCCGCCTCTGGACACATGTTGAAGGTGGCTGGTGCGGGACGAGCTGTGTTTAAGGGAGCGGATGGCAAGCCGGTGGTGCTGCACGACGTTCTCTTCGTCCCCGACCTGAAGGCCAACCTTATCTCCCTCCGTAAGCTTGGCAAGGCTGGGGTGAACACCAACACGGATGGGGCACGCACTTATAAGGGGAAGCTGGGCAATCGGGTGCTTTGGGATCTGCACGAGAGCAAGGACGTGTACAGATCTATGTGGCAGCTGCCGGCCCTGGCGTGGCATGGTGGGGGGCAGGCTGGAGAGGGGTCTGCATCCCAGGGGGAGTGCAATGCCGTTGGAGGGGTTGGTGTGAAAGTGTCGGCCAGATCTGGGGAGACAGATTGGGCAACGGCACACCGGCGCTTAGGGCATGTGGCAATGCCTTTGCTGAAGCAGCTGGAGAAGGATGGAGCCGTTAAGGGTCTGAAGCTGAACGGACAGCCACCCGATGACAACTGTGAAATCTGTTTGCTTTCAAAGTTCACCCGTTTCCCTTTCCATAGTGTGGCTGGCAGGAGCAAGAAGCCTTTGGAGCTGGTCCACATGGACTTGGTGGGGCCGCTGCCGGTGCAAGGGCACAAGGGGGAGCGGTATTTTCTTACAATTGTGGATGACTGGAGCAGGCTGATGTGGGCGTATCCGCTGAAGCAGAAGGACCACGCCGCCTCCACGATACGGGACGATTGGCTGCCATTCGTGGAGAAGCAGGCGGAGTGTGTAGTGAAGCGGATTAGGACAGACCGGGGTGGTGAGTTCCTTGGAGCTGAAATGACGGCCTGGCTCAAGAAGCAGGGCATCCAGAGAGAGCTGACCACGGCTTATACCCCACAGTCCAATGGTGTAGCAGAACGGGCAAACCGGACCATTCTGGAGACAGCTAGGGCGCTGCTCATAGAATCTGGGCTGAGCAATTCTATGTGGCCTCATGCTGTCCGGCACGCCACTGTCGCTAGGAACAGGGTGCTCACCAAGGTTGGGGATGACTCGTGGGTGCCGTTGGAGAGGTGGCTTGGGAGGAAGCCGCCGGTGGACATGCTGAGGGTGTTCGGTTGCATGGCAGTCGCCCACGTCCCCAAGACCTACCGCAGTAAGTTGGGGGCGAGTGCAATCTGGTGTGTGCATTTGGGGCTGGCTGCTGAGAGCAAGGGATGGCTGCTGTGGGAACCATCCAAGGGTGTGTTGTTTGACAGCAGGGATGTGAAATTCATTGAGGGCATGATGTATGGGAGCTGGGAGAAACAGCCGGAGGCAAGGGTGTCCCAGCAGATGGAGCAGATCACCATGCAGCTGGACCTGACTCCTAGTGTGTGGGAGGAGGGAGAGGAGGCAGCTGCTGGAAATGGTGATGGAGAGAAGGTACAGGAGGCATCTGCTGGTGGAGAAAATGGTGTGGAAACTGGCGGCAGCACTAGTGGAGCTGCTGGACCCGAGGGAGGAGAGAAGCAGCAGGGAAAAACTAAGAAGCCGAAGGGTGTCGTTATGAAGGGATGGGAGACACCCGTCTCCAGGCCAGGACGTACCCGTATGGCTACTAAGAAGCTGACTGCAGGAACTGATGCAGCAGAGCAGCAGCTAGGGACCGAAGAGGCATTGCTGATTCTACCTCATGGCTATGACCCGGATGAGGAGGATGAGCCTGCGTACTGTTTTCTTGCCCCTGCACCAGAGGAACCAGCTAGCATGGAGGAGGCATTAGCTGGACCAGATAGGGACAAGTGGCTGGCTTCTAGGGATGCTGAGTACCAGAGTCTGCTGGAGAATAGGACATGGGATCTGGTGGTGCTGCCTGATGGGAAGAAAGCGATACAATGCAAGTGGGTGCTGAGGATCAAGACCGATGACAAGGGGCAGGTCACCATCTACAAGAGTAGGCTGGTGGCGAAGGGGTTTATGCAGAAGGAGAAGCAGGACTTCAACGAGATCTTTGCTCCCACTGCCAAACCCCCTACCCTCCGTGTCTTGTTGGCAGATGCAGCTGTTAGTGGAAAATTCATCATTCAGATGGATATTTCAACGGCATTCCTGAATGGGATTTTAGAGGAGGATGTGTACATGACGCAGCCGCCTGGGTATGAGGATGGTACGGGCAGGGTGTGCAAGCTCAACAAGTCCATCTACGGCTTGAAGCAGGCGCCACGCTGCTGGTACCAGAAGTTGGCAGCTGTTTTAGAGGAGATGGGATTCAGGACCAGCAGCTGTGATGAGAGCCTCTTTCTCAAGGGCGAGGGGGAGAAGCTGGTGCTGTTTCTGGTCTACGTGGATGACATTCTTCTCTTCAGCAGCAGCATGAAGGAGATCCAGAAAGTGCAGCAGCAACTGATGGAGAACTTCAAGTGCAAGAACCTTGGGGAGGTAAAGTACTACCTCGGGATGCACGTGGAGAGGGATCCTGATCACAGGTGGTTGAAGCTGCACCAGGAGAAGTTCATCAAGGAGCTGGGGGAGAAGTATGGGATTGAGAATGAGCGCAAGGTTGCAACTCCCCTGCCAGCAGAATTCAAGCTTGTGAAGGCTGCAGAGGATGAAGGGGTTGAAGCCGAGGAGCAGCAGCAATTTCAGTCCTTGGTGGGCAGCCTCTTGTACGCAGCAGTTCACACGAGGCCCGACATCTCTTTCTCGGTTGGGCAGCTGGCTAGGGTGGTGCAGAATCCATCAGAGGAGCAGGTGGATGCAGCTGAGCGTGTGGTGAAGTACCTGAACTCTCACCCAAGCATTGGAGTTCAATACTCCGCATCTGCACAGGTGAAGCAGAAAGGGGTGGAGGTGCTGAAAGAGAAGGGGGAGAGGCTTGGAGAAGGCAAGCTATTTCTCACTTGCTTTACCGATGCTACGTGGGCTTCTGAGAAGGAGGATTCCTCATCTGTGGGAGGATACATCTGCGTAGTTGGGGGAGGACCTGTTAGTTGGAGGTCCAAGAAGCAGACGGAGACGGCACTCTCTTCCGTAGAATCAGAGTACATGGCGATGTTCCATGGGGTGAAGGAGGTGATTTGGCTGAGGAGGCTGTTAGAGGAGATTGGCCAGGAGCAGAAAGTTGCTACGCCGCTGTTTTGTGATAGCAAGGGGGCTCTTGGGATGGCCAGAAACGCTGTGCTTCATGGGCTGAACAAGCACATGCGTATCAAGTGGCACTGGCTGCGTAAGGAGGTGAAGAGGGGGACGGTGCATCCGATCTACATCAAGACTCACCAGCAGCCAGCAGACTTTCTCACCAAGAGGCTTGCGGATGAGCCTCATTGGCGTTGTGTGCGCATGAGTGGAATGAGCATGAACTAGCATGGAATGACGGGGATGCAGCCGGCAGGCTGAGGGGGAGTGTGTTGGGTGCAAATGCACATTGCACGACATCCTGCCGTCTGTTTGTACGAGTATGCGTGTGCGAATGCATTTGCGTGTGAATGGTGTGTTCGTGTGTTTGTTTGCTTTCGCAATTTTCGCTTGATGCATTTGCAGGTACTCGCGCAATGTGCGCTTCGGCACAACATTGTATGCGCTATGAACAGTGCAAGCAGAAAGGACGAGCTCGCAAAGGAACCCAAGATGGAAGCTTTGCAGTTCGGTTGAGTTGATTGCGCAGATTCAGTTCTATCCAACTCGAAATTGTACTGTTTTGTTTGGTTAACTATAGTGTAGCAGGGAAGGCACTATAGGGGTACAATTTAGGTGAAGGTTGGATGTTGTTTGTCTGTATCTGCATGCTACAAGGCCAGGGGAAACCAGCGGAACCAGCATTTGGCTGGTTGGGCAAAGACAAAACAGGTTCTGTTTTTAGAACCTGAACCTGGTTGTTGTTTTCCCAGGTTGGAAAAACAGAACCAGAGGTTGTTTACCAACCTACCACCTGCTATTTTGTCCAGCCAGGTTGGTTCTGTTGCTTGGAATTATTTGGGATCATCCCTGGTTGTTCCCAGGTTGATTCCCAAGGTCCTTGCTAGCTAGAACTATTTAATCCTTCTCTGTTTGTACCTGAATATAGTCAAATTGATTCAAGCGAATTCCTTCCTCGCTGGAATTTCGTTTCTGCGCTATTCGACGGCGGAATGCTACCCGAGTCAACGCTAGTATGCTAGCACTCTAATGCTAGGCAAACACCGTCTGAGCCATAACTTCGTAATGGCAGAACTTTTCGCGAGGCAACTTGGCTCATTTTAAAGCTCTTGGAGCGAGCTTCGATATAGCGAATTCTCAGCTTAATCCGATCGACGGTCTGCACGGCACGCTGCGCGACGTTCAAGGTACTCTTGCTGTTTTGACTAAGTCCTTCTTGATCCCTCTACAAACTCGGACCCGAGGATAGGGGCTGGTCTTGTACCAGGCACCCAGGGACCCTTGGAGGTGACCCCGAGGAGAGGTTTTAAGTTTGATTAAGTCCTAATAGCTTGAGTTTATTAGGCCCTTACACCAACAAGTAACGCACTTACTCTTATGACCACTTATATCGCTAAGTAATGTACTTACTCTTAGTACCACTCATATTATTAAATAATGTCAAACATTATATATGTTGCGTTTGTTAGGCTACAGTGGGTTAGCCTATATGGGGTACACAATTCTAGGGTTTGCTATTTGTACTGATTTCTCTGTTAGTTCAATCATTCCTGCTCAGTTCTTCTGACATGGTTTCAGAGCAGGTCCTTCGCTAGGACCTAAGTTCTTTTCGTGCCCACCACTACCTACTACCTACTAGCGCCCTCGTGCGCTCTACTATCGGAGCGCGTTTTAGCGCCTCCCCCTTAGCGCCCTCGTGCGCTTCTCTCTTTTTTTTCCCGGCCCCGCTGGCCCCGTCGATCGCGCCCCGCTTAGAGGCCCCGTGGCCCCGTCGCGCTCCGCCTAGAGGCCCCGCGGCCCCGTCGCGTCCCGCTTAGAGGCCCCGCGGCCCCGTCGCGCCCCACCTACCGGCCCCGCGACCCCTTCGCGCCCCGCTTAGCGGCTTCGCGGCCCCGTCGCGCCCCGCCTAGAGGCCCCGCGGCCCCGTCGCGTCCCGCTTAGAGGCCCCGCGGCCCCGTCGCGCCCCACCTCACGGCCCCGCGACCCCGTTGCGCCCCGCTTAGCGGCCCCGCGGCCCCGTCGAGCCCCGCTTAGAGGCCCCCGCTGCCCTCCCCGTACCGCCCCGCTTAGCGGCTCCGCGCAGCCGCGCCGCCCTACCCGAGCCGCGCCGCCCTACCTGAACCGAGCCGCGCCGCCCGACCGAGCCGCGCCGCCCGTACTGAGCAGCCCCGTCGATACTGCTGCTCCTACTACTGCTCCTACTGCTACTGCTACTGCTACTGCTGCTACTGCTACTGCTGCTACCACTACTGCTGCTGCCACTATGGCTAGTCCTCCCGTACTTGCTTTCGATGCTGAGGGCCGCCCAGTGAAGTTTGACACCTGGCTAGATGACCTGCACCTCTTCCTACAGCTCACTGCCAAGGAGGATATTTCGCTGTACGATCATGCCCTCGGTCACGCTACTGCCCCTCCTACCACTGCAGACAGCACTCAGCGCTCACAGTGGCAGACTCGTGACGCCCACGCTCGCTTCGCTATTCGCAACTCCCTGCCGATAGATGAGCGCGAGCACTTTGGCCAGCACAAGACTGCTAAGGAACTGTACACTGCTGTTGTTGCTCGTTACTCCTCACCTGCTTCTGCCACACTAGGCCGCCTCACCCTCCCCTACCTGTTCCCCGACCTGGCCTCCTTTCACACAGTTGCTGACCTCATCACCCACCTCAAGACTAGTGAGGCCCGCTTTCGCGCTGCTATGCCTGACGAGTTCCTTGCTAGCAATCCCCCCCCGCTCTGGATCACTCTCTACCACATCGTCACCCGCCTCCCTGACTCTCTGCGCACAGTCAGGGACCACTTCCTCGCTCGCTCCCCCACTGAGCTCACCATTGCCCTCCTCGAGAAGGAACTGCTTGCAGCTGAGGCGAGCATCGTCGCTGTAGGCACCTCTCGTGGCGACCCCCGCACCCCGTTCTTTGAGGGGTGTTCCCCTTCCCCCCTTCTCCCCTCTGTAGCCTCTGCTGCTGCTGTCGACCTCCTTGGTGCTGAGAAGGTCGGGACCGCGTCTGCTCCGAGCGGGCGCCGCAGGAGCAAGGGGGGCAAGGGTGGAGGTGGCGGAGGGGGAGGCGGGGGTGGCGGCGGTGGGGGTGGAGGTGGGGCTGGAGAGGCTAGTGGCGGCAGTGGGGGTGGTGACAGCAGCGGCGGGAGCGGTGGCAGGGGCGGAGGCGGCAGCGGAGGCGGAGGTGGTCGTGGCGGCGGCAGGGGTGGAGGTGGCCGAGGCGGTGGCGGCGGCGGTGGTGGACATGGAGACGCGGGCGGTGGCCAGAGCCAGCAGCGCCCCCCGTCGCTCCAGGAGGCCCGTGAGTGGTATTCGCAGCGGGGGGGGGCGGGTGGCTTTACCTGCACGTACGTCATCCGCACTGGTGACCGCACTGGCCAGACGTGTGGGAGGCCGCACCCCAGGCAGCGCTGTTTCTCGCGCCTGGCGCATGGCGCGCCCAGTTTCCTGCTGCCACTGAACTGCCCCACTGGGCTGAGCTGGAGAGGAAGGGAGTTGATATCTGGGCTCTAGACTTTGATGCTATTCTCACTGCCATGTATGCGATGTTTACTAGTGGAGAGGGTGCTCAGTACTTGCGTGTTCCGCCCGACCCGGGCATTCTGACCAGTCCGACTGCCGCTCTAGGTGCTAGTGAGTCTGCTGCCCCAGGTCCTGGTGAGGCTGCTGCTCTAGGTGCTCGTGAGTCTGTGCCCCCTGGTACTGAGTCGACTGCGGCACTGCACACCTTCACACTGGACTCAGGTGCTTCTCGTTGTTTCTTTCGTGACCGCACTGTCCTTGAGCCACTCGCTCGACCAGTTGCTGTCTCCCTCGCTGACCCCTCTGGGGGTCCGGTCATTGCGACCTCCTCCACTGTCCTTCCTTGTCCTGCGGTCCCGTCAGGCACGCTGTCAGGTCTCTACCTCCCCTCGTTCTCTACGAACTTGGTGGCAGGTCTTGTGCTCCAGGACGGGGGTGTTCACCAGTTCACCCCTGCCTACGAGCGCGTGACACACTGCACGTGTGCTCGGACGGGTCGCCACCTGGCTACCTTCACTCGAGAGCCGGGGTCGGACCTGTACACACTGACCACTGAGTCCCCTCAGGTAGCTGCGTCTGCGTCTGCGTCAGGTCAGCTGTCCGCCCCCTGCTCGTGTCGCTCTCTGGCGCATGAGACTGTCCTCTGGCACCACCACCTTGGTCACCCGTCTGTGCAGCGCCTTCGGGCCATGCACAAACGAGACCTTGTTGCTGGTCTTCCCAGGGTTCTCCCTCCCCTCCCACCCTCGCCTGCTCCTCCCTGTCTTCCCTGTGTCGAGGGGCGGCAGCGCGCCGCTCCTCACTCCTCCTCTTTTCCCCCGACGACTGCTCCCTTGCAGACGCTCCACTTGGACGTGTGGGGCCCAGCCCGCGTCCGTGGACAGGGTCAGGAGAGGTACTTCCTGATTGTTGTTGACGACTTCTCGCGCTACACCACGGTCTTCCCCTTGCGCGCCAAGGGTGATGTCCCTGATGTCTTGATCCCTTGGATCCGCAGATCTCGTCTCCAGCTCAGCGAGCGTTTCCGCTCAGACTTTCCTGTCCTGCGTTTGCACTCTGACAGAGGTGGGGAGTTTTCCTCTGGCCTCTTGGAGGCCTTCTGTCAGCAGGAGGGCATTGAGCAGTCGTTCACGCTTCCGGCCTCTCCACAGCAGAATGGGGTTGCTGAGCGCCGCATTGGCTTGGTCATGGAGGTCGCTCGTACCTCCTTGGTTCATGCGGCTGCCCCCCACTTTCTATGGCCGTTTGCGGTCCGGTACGCCGCACATCAGCTCAACCTCTGGCCCCGAGTCTCCCTCCCGGAGACTTCTCCGACACTGCGTTGGACGGGAGAGGCTGGCGATGCGTCGCGTTTTCGGGTCTGGGGATCCCGAGCTTTTGTCTGCGACACGTCCGCGGACAAGCTCTCCCGTCGCGCTGTCCCCTGTGTCTTCCTTGGCTTTGTCCCGGACGCCCCTGGTTGGCAGTTCTACCACGCCACCTCGCGTCGTGTCCTAGCCTCTCAGGACGTCACTTTTGACGAGTCCGTCCCCTACTACTGCCTCTTCCCCTACCGCACTGCCCCACTCCCCCCCCCGCCTCTCTTCCTCGCTCCAGGTGCTGAGGTACCAGACCCCCTCCCCCCTCAGGGTGCCGCTCCCTCAGGTGTGTCCCAGGTAGACCCGGGTGAGCCTGTCGAGGTAGCTGTTGACTCTCGTCCTGCTAGGGGTACTGAGCCTGGGGGTGCTGAGCCTGGGGGTGCTGAGCCTGGGGGTGCTGCGTCTGGGGGTGCTGAGCCTGGGCGTGCTGAGTCTGGGGGTGCGGAGCCTAGGGGTGCTGAGCCTGGAGGTACGGAGCCTGGAGGTGCGGAGTCTGGAGGTGCTGAGCCTGGGGGTGCTGAGTCTGGGGGTGCTGCGTCTGGAGGTGCTGAGCCTGAGACTGCTACTCCTGGCGGAGCCCTCTCCTCCCAGCAGCTGCAGGAGCGGTACCTACAGTACTGCCGCCTCCGGAGAGGTGCTACTGGAGCTCGTACCAGTACTTCCCCTCCTACCCAAAAGCTCCCCTCCCTTCAGCAGATCCGCGAGTGGTACACGCGGCGCTGCAGTCTTCGGAGTGGTGCTCCTGGTGCTGCGGACCCTGGGGGTGGCGCTGCTGCTGGTGCTGAGGACACGAGCGTCGGAGCTGCTGCTGCTGCTCAGTTCTTCTGACAAATAATGCACTTACTCTTAGTACCACTCATATCGCTAGGTAATGAAACTAAATTCTGTATCACTGATATGGCTAAGTAACACATTACTCTTAGTAAAACTCATACGGCTAAGTAACGCACTTACTCTTACTACCATTCGTATCGCTAAGTTATGCAATTACTTTTAGTACCACTCGTATCATCTAAGTAATGCACTTACTCTTAGTACCACTCATATCACTAAATAACGCACTTGCACTTTGTACCACTCATATCGCTAAGTACAGCATTTACTATTAGTACCACTTATATCGCTAAGTAACGCACTTACTCTTAGTACCAATCATATATTTAAGTTACGAACCTACTTTTAGTACCACTCACATCGCTTAGTAATGCATTTAATTTTAGTTCTACTCATATCGCTAAGTAACGCACTTACACTTAGTACCACTCATATTGCTAAGTAACGAACTTACTCTTAGTACCACTCATATCGCTAAACAATGCACTTACTTTTAGTACCACTCATATTGCTAAGTAATGCACTTATTCTTAGTACCACTCATATCGCTACGTAATGCACTTACAGGTAACGCTACGTAATGCGGTGATAACTCTAGCAACAGGAGCTTGACTACGGGGAAGGCACGTGTGTGAGAGGGATCTCTGCGTTCGTTCGTTCATTTAGTTCTTTCCTTGTGCGCACACTACTTGCTAGTTCGCGGGAAGAATTGGCGAGAGTTCCACTACGAAAACATGATAATGACAGTTCAGAATGATTGCAACAACATTGGCAACCCAGACTACATCAGAGCTAGCTAGGCTACTGGTCGACCTCCAACGCAGCACAGTCGACTGCATTCCAGCGCAGCAATGCTCGCACCGCTCCAGCGCTGCAGAGATGCGGCGCGCCAACGTTGCATGTCCACGGTGTGCCAACGCTGCAGCAAGTCGGTTGCACAGCGTTGCACCCGCAGAACAACGGTGCACCTGCTTCGCAGGTGTGCGCGGCTGGTTGGCGTCCAACTCCTCGTCACGTGCCCAGCGCAGACATTCCCGCCCGTGACGGCGCCCATCAGCCACGTCGACCTCGGGATACCACCCCCGAGGTCGTTCTCGCAGAAGCCTCCCCCGGCGACCTTCGCACATGTCGCCCGGGTATCCCGGTCGACCGGGCAACCCCGCCTGGTCGTCCAGCCCAGTCGGTCGACGACTACACCAAGCCCGGCGTCCCCAGGTCGGCGTCCTGGCGTCCTGGTCGGCGTCCACTCGCCCAGGGCGCCGTCCAGGCGCCCAAGTCGACGTCCAGGCGCCCGGGACGCTGAGCAGACCCCCAGGTCAGCGTCCCACCCCCCAGGACGTCGAGCAGAGGCTCAAGTTGGCGTCCAGGCGCCCAGGAAGCTGAGCAGACGCCCAGGACGGCGTCCAGGCGCCCAGGACGCCGAGCAGACGCCCAGGACGGCGTCCAGGCGCCCAGGACGCCGAGCAGACGCCCAGGACGGCGTCCAGGCGCCCAGGACGCCGAGCAGACGCCCAGGACAGCGTCCAGGCGCCCAGGACGGCGTCCACCTGCTCGGCGCCCTCCAGCCAGGCGCCCCTCAACTGAATGCCCTGACAATGGCCTTCGTGCCCACTGCCGCAGGTCGGCTGCGTCACCCCTGTACACCCGACCACAAGGTCGGCTCCGCCCAAGCGAGGACTGGGCCGAATACAACTCCCGTTGACACGTAATGCACTTACTCCTAGTACCACTCATATCGCTAAGTAATGCACTTACTCTTAGTACCAGTCATATCGCTAAGTAACGCACTTACTCTATATACCACTCATATGGCTAAGAAACACACATATTCGTAGTACCACTCATATCGCTAAGTAACGCACTTACTCTTAATACCACTCATATTGCTAAGTAACGCACTTACACTTAGCACCATTCATATGGCTAAGTAATGCGGAGATAACTACTACAACGGGAGCTAGACTGCGGGCTAGGCACGGGTGCTCGTGTGATCTCTGCGTTCCTTGTTCCTTAGTCGTTTTCTTAGTGCACACACTGCTTCCTAGTTCATGAGGCAATTTGGCAAGAGTTTCACTAGAGAAAGTTGACAACAACAATGTGTTGGTGTAAGGGCCTAATAAACTCAAGCTATTAGGACTTAATCAAACTTAAAACCTCTCCTCGGGGTCACCTCCAAGGGTCCCTGGGTGCCTGGTACAAGACCAGCCCCTATCCTCGGGTCCGAGTTTGTAGAGAGAGGGATCAAGAAGGACTTAGTCAAAACAGCAAGAGTACCTTGAACGTCGCGCAGCGTGCCGTGCAGACCGTCGGTCGGATTAAGCTGAGAATTCGCTATATCGAAGCTCGCTCCAAGAGCTTTAAAATGAGCCAAGTTGCATCGCGAAAAGTTCTGCCATTACTAAGTTATGGCTCAGACGGTGTTTGCCTAGCATTAGAGTGCTAGCGTACTAGCGTTGACTCGGGTAGCATTCCGCCAACGAACCGCGTAGAAACGAAATTCCAGCGAGGAAGGAATTCGCATGAATCAATTTTACTATATTCAGGTACAAACAGAGAAGGATTAAATAGTTCTAGCTAGCAAGGACCTTGGGAATCAACCTGGGAACAACCAGGGATGATCCCAAATAATTCCAAGCAACAGAACCAACCTGGCTGGACAAAATAGCAGGTGGTAGGTTGGTAAACAACCTCTGGTTCTGTTTTTCCAACCTGGGAAAACAACAACCAGGTTCAGGTTCTAAAAACAGAACCTGTTTTGTCTTTGCCCAACCAGCCAAATGCTGGTTCCGCTGGTTTCCCCTGGCCTTGTAGCATGTAGATACAGACAAACAACATCCAACCTTCACCTAAATTGTACCCCTATAGTGCCTTCCCTGCTACACTATAGTTAACCAAACAAAACAGTACAATTCCGAGTTGGATAGAACTGAATCTGCGCAATCAACTCAACCGAACTGCAAAGCTTCCATCTTGGGTTCCTTTGCGAGCTCGTCCTTTCTACTTGCACTGTTCATAGCGCATACAATGTTGTGCCGAAGCGCACATTGCGCGAGTACCTGCAAATGCATCAAGCAAAAAATGCGAAAGCAAACAAACACACGAACACACCATTCACACGCAAATGCATTCGCACACGCATACTCGTACAAACAGACGGCAGGATGTCGTGCAATGTGCATTTGCACCCAACACACTCCCCCTCAGCCTGCCGGCTGCATCCCCGTCATTCCATGCTAGTTCATGCTCATTCCACTCATGCGCACACAACGTCAATGAGGCTCATCCGCAAGCCTCTTGGTGAGAAAGTCTGCTGGCTGCTGGTGAGTCTTGATGTAGATCGGATGCACCGTCCCCCTCTTCACCTCCTTACGCAGCCAGTGCCACTTGATACGCATGTGCTTGTTCAGCCCATGAAGCACAGCGTTTCTGGCCATCCCAAGAGCCCCCTTGCTATCACAAAACAGCGGCGTAGCAACTTTCTGCTCCTGGCCAATCTCCTCTAACAGCCTCCTCAGCCAAATCACCTCCTTCACCCCATGGAACATCGCCATGTACTCTGATTCTACGGAAGAGAGTGCCGTCTCCGTCTGCTTCTTGGACCTCCAACTAACAGGTCCTCCCCCAACTAAGCAGATATATCCTCCCACAGATGAGGAATCCTCCTTCTCAGAAGCCCACGTAGCATCGGTAAAGCAAGTGAGAAATAGCTTGCCTTCTCCAAGCCTCTCCCCCTTCTCTTTCAGCACCTCCACCCCTTTCTGCTTCACCTGTGCAGATGCGGAGTATTGAACTCCAATGCTTGGGTGAGAGTTCAGGTACTTCACCACACGCTCAGCTGCATCCACCTGCTCCTCTGATGGATTCTGCACCACCCTAGCCAGCTGCCCAACCGAGAAAGAGATGTCGGGCCTCGTGTGAACTGCTGCGTACAAGAGGCTGCCCACCAAGGACTGAAATTGCTGCTGCTCTTCAGCTTCAACCCCTTCATCCTCCGCAGCCTTCACAAGCTTGAATTCTGCTGGCAGGGGAGTTGCAACCTTGCGCTCATTCTCAATCCCATACTTCTCCCCCAGCTCCTTGATGAACTTCTCCTGGTGCAGCTTCAACCACCTGTGATCAGGATCCCTCTCCACGTGCATCCCGAGGTAGTACTTTACCTCCCCAAGGTTCTTGCACTTGAAGTTTTCCATCAGTTGCTGCTGCACTTTCTGGATCTCCTTCATGCTGCTGCTGAAGAGAAGAATGTCGTCCACATAGACCAGAAACAGCACCAGCTTCTCCCCCTCGCCCTTGAGAAAGAGGCTCTCATCACAGCTGCTGGTCCTGAATCCCATCTCCTCTAAAACAGCTGCCAACTTCTGGTACCAGCAGCGTGGCGCCTGCTTCAAGCCGTAGATGGACTTGTTGAGCTTGCACACCCTGCCCGTACCATCCTCATACCCAGGCGGCTGCGTCATGTACACATCCTCCTCTAAAATCCCATTCAGGAATGCCGTTGAAATATCCATCTGAATGATGAATTTCCCACTAACAGCTGCATCTGCCAACAAGACACGGAGGGTAGGGGGTTTGGCAGTGGGAGCAAAGATCTCGTTGAAGTCCTGCTTCTCCTTCTGCATAAACCCCTTCGCCACCAGCCTACTCTTGTAGATGGTGACCTGCCCCTTGTCATCGGTCTTGATCCTCAGCACCCACTTGCATTGTATCGCTTTCTTCCCATCAGGCAGCACCACCAGATCCCATGTCCTATTCTCCAGCAGACTCTGGTACTCTGCATCCCTAGAAGCCAGCCACTTGTCCCTATCTGGTCCAGCTAATGCCTCCTCCATGCTAGCTGGTTCCTCTGGTGCAGGGGCAAGAAAACAGTACGCAGGCTCATCCTCCTCATCCGGGTCATAGCCATGAGGTAGAATCAGCAATGCCTCTTCGGTCCCTAGCTGCTGCTCTGCTGCATCAGTTCCTGCAGTCAGCTTCTTAGTAGCCATACGGGTACG